GGGGGCCTGCGGGACGCCCGGCTCCTGGGGGGGTCTCGTACTGAGAAGGCAAAGTCCCAAAGAGGCTGTTTTTATAACCGAGCACCTGATTGATTTACCCTCTTCATCACATTAATCTGTTTTTCTCATAGGTCGTTGGCCGTCCCTTTGTTTCGGGGTGCTGGCTGCACCCAAGAGGTACTGCGCGTCACGGCCTTCGCCGCTCTTTGCTTGTCCTCCTCCAAGCTCAGGCCGCTGGTGAATCTTAATTCAGGGGCAAAGCTTGTCTCTGCTTAACGCAGTGCTCCCAAATGCCACTGTCGTGCGTAAAAAGGTGAGACAGGTCTTACGGCATTTATCCTTAATCGGCATGACTTCAGAATTAGCGTAACTAGAGTTCTCTCTACTAGTGTGTTTTATTACAGGGAAAAAAACCAAACCACAACCAAGACTCAAGCTGAACGAGAAGTCATAATAAGCAAAAAAATCAAAGACATACTCCAAAGTTATTTTTTCGAAAAATATCTAACTGATTGATCTGTGTTTTTCACAGACATTATTCTGGCCTTAAAAGAAAACTACATCAAAGAGGCTTTAAAATTTGTTATTCAAAATATTCCACATATACCAGTAATTAACAGCAGTCAGTACCACAAGATGGTATGACTTCTATCTAAATGTATTTCAAATTTGTATTTGTTGCCTTTTAATTTAACAGAATGCCTTGCTCTCCGTCTGAGGACTGAAGTGTTCAAAATCCTGAGTTAGACACTCAGGAAGAAATTGTAATTGCTTTGAAATAGTGATACTTTAAAAAAAATCGTACTCTTTTCTCTTGCCTTTAAGAAGCTTCCTGAAGTTCTTGAAGTTCTATTTAAAAACTTCTGTTCAAAACCATGAGTGTTTCAAATTGACTTGTCTTCATGCAGGTTTATAGTATCCATTTCTTTCACAAAGTAGTCCCAGTAGGGACTAGGTTTCTTAGTATCACCCAAACTCCAGCTTCCCTTCCTCTCCCAGGCTCCTTCAGAGACGTCCAGTGCATTTTTGCATTACCAGGCTCCTCAGGCTGAGCGCAGTTAAGTAGAATGAGACAATTCTTTATTTCTAGACTGAGACTTTGAAATCACTGAAGGTGATTTATGCTTCAGTACTGCCGCTATTCAAAGTATTCAATTTCTTGTATTTCCACTTGTTGCTTACATTGCCTTTCGTAAAACCAGTCTACGCCTTTAGTTTTGATCGCTGTGCTGGAGAACAATTGGCTAACCAGCAATTTCATCTGAATATGGCGGTCATTTTGGGTTATCATTATGATGAATAGATGTTATTTTATACCTATTCCAAATACATTCAATTGATTATGTTGTAAATGTACTTTATCTGCTTGTAGAAATTGGCAGTACCATTAACAAATGCTGAGAAAAAAAGCAAATTGGTATGTCCTTTTGCTTAATCAAATATTACTTATTTTCAGTAATAGCTAGTGATATATCTCCTCTTCAGCTCATGTAAATTGTGATTCTTCACGAGCAAACCAATTAGAGTTAAAATGAGGAATTTATTGGGAACAAGGGACTATTATGCGAAGCTATTCGGCAAATTTGAATTGCAAGTCCCAAAATAGAAAGGTTTGGACCTAAAAGAGACTGTAATATATTAAAAAGCATTAAATTAGTTGCTAGGAGAGGAATATTACTTTGACTGATCACTGAAAAAGTTACTGATATAATCAGAAAAGTTGGGGGATAAGTGCTTTCTGAGCCATGTTGTACCATGGGAAGCATGCTCGGGGGCTGCAACAGGGAATTCATGGCCAGGCATTAATACACACCTATTTATCATCTTTAGCTTAATTTCCTAAGCAAATGAGGCTTGTGCAATCAAACCGTCTGTCAGTTTACACTTTGTAGTACAAGCAGTTGGCCAATGCGTTGGCCAATTTCAGACAAATTTAACCAGGTTGTAGAAATGTTGAGCAAAATGAAGTTCCTATAGGTTTTGAGAAATTAGAGGAGCAACCTATAAAGTATAACCCTGTAAGTTCACTAACAGAAGGAAAGGCTACGCGTGCTCAGACTCTGTCAGGTAACAGAGAACCTGTTCAGGGGAAAGATGTTAGAAATATCCCATTTTTTTGGGACATGGGTTCTTACCGTCAACCACAAGATGTGTGAAGCCAGTCCTCAGTAAGTTTGGACATCACAGAACTACATGGGTTTTTATCTCCTGTGTTTGTTTTCCTCCTCTTAATGTAATTCTCTTGTATTTTCTTCCGTTTTTTCACTGTCAGTTTTACTAAGCTTGATTCCGTGATTATTTTGTAGCTAGGGATACCAGTTTCTAACGAAAATGATCATTGAACAGCTTTGAGTTTTTCCAGAATGATCCAATGAACACAGCAGTTAAATAGATCAGGCAGCAGGTCTTTTTTTTAAATTTTTTTTAAATCCTACCAATCAATGGATCAGGGATCCAAAGTGATGGAAATGTACAGTGAAGGTTGTCCCATACAAGTCACAGCCCATTCATATGGTTGCCAGAAGTTAAGGAATGTACTGGCAAGGCATATGTTATTACCTCTCTAGCTACAAAGTACATTCCAGCCACAGATGTTAGGCAAGAATGACCTTTTTGTCCAGTGACTGAAGCTTACTAATGCGTACAAAGGTTGTTTTAACACTCAGTGTCATTTATTAGTGGTCAGGAACTGAAAGAATAAAGAGGTTGGACTTGAAGAGGTGAATGCTCCTGGGAAAATAGAATTTATCCTTGCCTGAGGTCATACTTTGTGACATTAGGGGAAGTCAGGCTTTTTATAGCTGCCTGTGTCCGAGTGTCCAGCTTAAGTAGTCGGTTGAACTCTGTTTGCTGATGTCCTAATTTGAGGTGAGGACAAGGAGAGCTGTGTTTTAATATAGAAAGTGCTGTGCTACTTAATATTCTGAAAAAAAAAATAATCAAACATAAGGTATCCCAAACTGGACACTCAAAGTTAACACGGCTTTGACATTTGTTTTCTGGTGCCTCAGTTCTGGCTGTAGAGCAGTAGATGATGACTGACTTCTACCTCATGGATGCATATAAAGATACATTTTTCTAAATCACTCAGCATTCACGGTAGGAATGGGGAGGACACACGGTCAGAAAATTCTGCATAGGTACATAGAATAATTTAAACAGCGTTCCATACTGAGATGAGAAAATGTGGTTACTATTGGAGATGAGTAAGGAGGCTACACTTTGACTTTGAATATCTTGTTTCTGGTGCTTCCTGACTTAAATAGTCTTGTCATTTTACTGGCTCCAAAACATTATCCTTTGTAAATAATTAATGCAGGTAAGCAGATGCACTAAAAAGTACAGTTGTTTTAATAGGACTGGGAAGTAACAGAGCTATGTATGCCACAGATCTACAAATTCACTATACATGTGCCATAGAGGACGCACTTGGAATTGCCATACATTACATCATTGCCATACAGTCGCCACAGATGAACTTCAAGGGCAGTACTCCAGGAGCTATTAGTTGCTTGTCAAGGCAGAACAACTTCTAAGAAACACTAGAATTTGATCAGCTTCTTGCCGCAATCCCCAGAAAAAAACCTCATACCGTTACGTGCTCCATTGTTCTTAACATGACAGCTACCATAAAAACTGTTAGTAAACACTTAAATATTAGGATCCCAAATCATTTAAATACCATGTTAAATCATGAATTGACATTAAACAATGGTTAAATGATCCACCTTATAAGAAACTTGCAATTGGAAACCCTGTGTTC